TTTGTGATGTGCCACGAAGAAAGATCGAAGGAAGATCCACAAAACCTCCTCCTGCTTGGCTTTGTCTCAGCCCAGGGCTGCCTGCAAACTGCAGGCAACGGGAGAACAGCTGATGAGTTCACCACAGCCACCCTTCCCGGGTACCTACATTAGCATAACAATTACAGCCCCAGAGGCTGTAAAGAGAATACAGGCTTTAAAAAATAAACTAGAATTTAACAGAGAAATTAATAGCGTAGCAAATTGTAACGCTGAGCGTGCCGGCTGCGTGTCAGTCTCGAGCACCAGCTGTACGTGCAGCCCTGGCACAGTTTGATTTCCAGACCTTCCGCTGCATTTGGCCATCATTTCAATATCTACACTTCCATTTCCTGGGGAAAGAGCCTGCAGGGCACCATTCCTGCTGCCACTTTCCCCAAAAACCTGGAGTGTTTTGTGTCTGTTGCGTTTCTCTGCAGCCGTGTGATGTATTGGCATTAAAATGCTGGCTGATAGAAATTAATTTATGGCAGTGATAGCCATTAGAGCTGCTGTAGTCCCAGTCTTGGAGTGTTTTGGGTTATAAATCTTGATTTTTGAGGGCTTTCTTATTTAGTCATATATAGCTCAGCTATCAAAGCAGTTGGTAAATGCCAGCACTGGGTGCTTGCTGTGACCTGCAGTGATACCAGGGGCGAAACAAGAGCAGCTCACTCGCATCTTGTCAAGCACAAAACAGCTTCAGGAACACCCTGGTTGGTGAGCTGGAAGCTGTGGAGTCCCGTGGAATGCTGCTCACAGCCTTGAGATCATCCGGGTGTAAAATGGTTGTAATCCGAGATGCGGGTGATGCCTGGGAAGCCGAGGGTGTCCCCAGGACGAGCTGATGCATTCCTGTGCTCGTGGTTGTTGCACCAGGATGTTGAACTCACTCTAATGGCATTTTTTTGTTCAAACCCTCTGGAAAAGCAGCTATTTTGGTGGCTCTCTGTGCCAGCGGTGACCATGGCTTGTCTGGGGGAGCAGCCAGCACTGATGCCAATAATTCCTTTGGCTCTTTTTCTGACTGAGTCAGATCACTCAAGCATTAACCTCAAAATAGCAACTATTTTTTGTAGTTGATATAATTAATCTCCTCTGTGTGTATGTTCCTTCCCTATTCCAGGCTCTGATGCTTCACCACTCCCCTGCTGACCCACTCCTACTTTGGCACAAGAAAACTCTGAGCAAAACTTGGCTTTTCCCCAAAAAAAAAAAAAAAAAGAAAAAAAAAAAAGCACGAACTACAGGCTGTGTGTGCTCTGCTCCGTGAGTTCACTGCCAAGCTGGTGCCTCCAGTCACAGATTCCTCGCTCATGTGGTCTGTTGGTTTTGGAGCATCTCCTCGATCTGTTTTTGGGTGGGTGGATGTGGAAGGGGGATGTTCACAAGCTGCCAGGACTGGGGGTGACACTGGCCACAAAGACAACTGTGATGGATGGGTGGGTGGATGTGTGGGTTTCGTGATGCAGAAGGAAAAAGCGGTTTGGAGAAGCCTGAAGCCTGAGCGGACCCCGTGTGCTGCCTCGTCCAGCCCTGGGAAGGGGAGGAGCGAGGAAGGGGATGGGATGGGCTAACCAGAGTCCATCCCCTGCCTCTCTTCTCCCTTTCCTGGGGCAGCTCCTGCGTCAAAGCACATCTAAGGGTGCAAGTGTGCCATACTGGACACTATCCCTTCCCCAGCTTCCCACCCCACGAACAGCTCCAGCCGTGCCAAGGTGGGATTCAGTGGTGCTGTGCTTGGGCTGTGTGACATCAATGATTTTTTAGGTCTGAGCACATCAGCGAGGAGGATGAAGGGGGAAAGAAAAAACCATCTGTGATGAAGCACAGAGTGAGCACATGAGATCAGGACAGTCTGCACCTCGCTGCTTGCATGCAGTGCTATTCCCACGAGGCAGCTGCAATCCTGGCAATTAAATCAGGAAGGATGCGTTGGGGAAAGCCCCCGTGATGGCGTCTGAGGATGCTGATTAAATGTGCACAGCCTGGTGAGCCCACGTGGAACAAATGGCTGCATGGCTGAGCCTGACAGACTTGCTGTGTCCTGGGCAAAAAGAACTCCGGGGTTTTATTAAACACTTTCAAGTAGATACCCAAGGAAGGAAAAGCTTTCTGCAGACGCACACTCGGCTGTGCAGCCCACACAGCTCCCAGCTTTTACAGTCAGAACGTGCAGCATGGGATCCATCCCAACCTCCAGCGCTGGCGTGGCAGGAGGAGAAACAGCTTCCCTTGGAGCAGGAACCCGCTCTGACCAGGCAGCAACAGCAAATATTGCCCAGGGAATGCTCATTTCCATGGCTGCACTGTGTGGATCAGACAGCGGAAGCCCTGCAAGCACACGCTGCTTAATCAAAAAGCCAGCCCGGGTCACGCCTGGGCTGGCTCTGAGCTTGTCCTGCAGTTGCTGGTGGTGCGAGATGTGAGCAATGCCTGAGGTCTGTCTTGGAAGAGAAAGCCAGGGGGATTTATAAAGCAAAACTGCTCTCAAGGACTGGCCTGCAGTGGATTTTCCTCTGAGCAAACAACCCAGCTCCTTCCCGGGCACACTGACCACATTCCGCTGGGCACGATTGTTTTGTGTCCCAGTGGCTGTTCCGATTTCAATCCTGTCGGCCCCAGGAGTTTTTCCAGGCTTGGGCTGTGTTTCTCTGCCTGTAGAAATGTCACTTCATTCTAGAAAAATGTCACTAGGGTTGTTATTTAAACAGTAATAGGGTTAAAGCTAATAATTGGTAAGTGAAAGTGACTGGCTTGCATAGTTTCCGATTACTTTTCTCCTCTCGTCTGTGTGATTTGAGTTCTCTCCTCAGCGTTTCGCGTGATGGAGGCAGGGTAGAGTTTTAAATAGAATTAAATCCTTTCAACATCAATTTTGCAGCAGCAGAGCCTGTGCTAGAATGCCTGTGCTGTGCAGGGAAGGTTTGGGACCTCGCTGGACCCCCAGCTGGGTACTGACAGGTCATGCTCTGCACACAAAAGGACACCTCTGCTGCGATGTGGCTACAGCCCAGGGAGCACAGATGAAGAGAAATACTGCAAAAATTGGAGTTTTGCTGATGGGCAGCAAAGAAGGGGCTACACGGGATGTTTTTGCAGCACATTTGGGGGCTAGACTGGAGTCTGCTGAGGCTGTTGGAGTCGCAGGGAGGCCTTTGTCCCTAAAAGCCATGCAAATGCTGGAAGCAGCTGGGAGGGATGCTAGAGGGGAGACACGGCCTCACAGAGCTCTGCCTGCCACGTGCTGCCAGTCCCCTGTGCTCAGTGCCATCCCTCCAGCTCATCCCCAGACTGTGCTGCTGCTGGGACGTGGTGATGGTGTTTTTATCCTCTTCTGCCTTAATGAGCTCGTTTGTGTGAGGCTGGGTAATGGAGAACGAGGCATTTTAGAAACATCCACTTGGGGAATGTATCCCTGGAGAAGTGAGTGTCAGGCAACGTTTGGCTGGTTAAAAACAATAAAGGTGCAAAGAGCAGTGCTGTGTCAGCTGTGCTCCTCTGTGTCCTCTGCAAACACCCCGTGTGTGTTGTGTTGGGCTCTCCACAGCCCCACAGACAGGTTTTGCTGTATCCAGGCACAGATTTTCCCCCTCTTTGGTTGCTACCACGGGAGTCCAGGCATGCCCAGGCAGCTCCAGCAGGGCCCTCATTGCAACACAGGCAGGAAGAAAAGTGTATTTATCGTGTGCATCAGTACAGCTAATGACTGCACACAGACACCGAGCTGTTGTGGAGGCACAAAGCCCTGCATGGGTTTGAGGTGGGGAAAAGCCGGGTGCTGCTGCTTTTAACACTTGTATGGTTTCCTGGCTGCACCACAAAACTGCTGTAGGTTGAATCTGTGGGGCTTTTGAAGTGATTGAACACTCCTTTCTCTCTGTGTACACATTGCAGACCAAAACTGCTGTAGGTTGAATCTGTGGGGCTTTTGAAGTGATTGAACTCCTCTCTGTGTACACATTGCAGAGAGTGTGTGAAGGCTCAGTGGAGCCCTGGTGTGAGAGAATGGTAGAATCACAGAAGGGTTTGGGTTAGAAGGGACCTTAAAGATCATTTAGTCCAACCCTCTTTCCAGGCAGGGAGACCTTCCACTAAACCAGATTGCTCAGAGCCCCCTCCATCTTGGCCTTGAACACTTCCAGGGATGGGGCAGCCACAGTTTCTTTGGGAAACCTGTGCGAGGGCCTCACCACCCTCAGAGAGAAGAATTTCTTCCTGATACCTAATCTAAACCCTGCCCCCTGTCAGTGTGAAGCCATTCCCCCTTCCTCCAGCCCCTTCATGACCTTGTCCAAAGTCCCTCTGCAGCTCTCCTGGAGCCCCTTTAGGCACTGCAAGGGGCTCTAAGGTATTCACAGAGCCTTCTCTTCCCGGGCTGAACAAACCCAGCTCTCAGCCTGAACATCCTCAGTTGAAAGGGATCCACATGGATCTGACTCCTCCACGTGGGGAATAAACCCCTCTTCATCTGGGGAACCCGGGGGTTGGAAAATGCTTCTACAACTGGAGGTGTTGATGACCAAGGTCACCCCCGGACTCCGAGCTCAGCCCTGCTCCAGGCTCTGTGTTCCCACCGCCAGCCCCCCTTCTCCTCATCCGCCCGCTGCCATCAGCCCCCCCAAGCAGGATCCCGATTCCCGACATTTCCCTCCGAGTGTTTCCACCGATCCCTGCGGGGCGGCTCGGGGGGGTCCCGGCGGCGGGGCCGCTTTGGAATCCCCCGTCCCTCGGGGTCCTCCCGCCATTGGGAGCGGCGGGGCCGTGCCGGAGCCCCCTCCCCATCCCCATCCATATCCATCCCCATCCATCCCCATCCCCACCGCGCTCCCGCAGCGCGGGGCGGGGCGCGCCGCCCCCCCGCCCCTCCGCGCCCCCGCGGCCGCTCCGCGCCCGGCGGCGGAGGGCGGGGAGGGCGCGTGGAGCCGCGGACACGCACACGGACACGCACACGGACACGCACACGGACACGCACACGGACACGCACACGGACACGCACACGGACACGCACACGGACACGCACACGCAGCGCGGCCCCGCAGCGCGGCTCTGCGGCCAAACCCCACCAACAAAGACCCCTCCGCCCCCCTCGCCGCCGCCCCCCGCGGGATGTAGCCGGGCCGGGAGCCCCAGCGAGGCAGCGGCCCCGCCGCTCCGTGCCCCGCAGCGAGGCCGGGAGGCGGCGGGCTCAGAGGCGCTGCCGCCACCATGGGCAAATCCAACAGCAAGTTGAAGCCTGAAGTTGTGGAAGAGCTGACCAGGAAAACGTACTGTGAGTGCCCGGGGGGCTGCCGGGAGGATGCCGGGGGTGTGATGGGATCCGCTCTGCCGCCCGGCCCCGCCGCTCCCCCGGGTCGGTGCCGCGGCGAGCGGCGGCTCCTGCGGGGCCGCTCCCGGGGAGGGCGCAGGCTCGGCCGGGCTTTGTTGGAAGAATTCAGGGATTGGCCTGGGAGGAGGAAAAAACCCATAAGGCAGCAGAGACACGGAGAGGGGCAGCGAGCCAGGGGAACGCGCCGGTTTTTTACAAAAACCGTCCTCCGTGGCCTATTTCTGAGCCTCCGGGAACGGCGGGGCCAGGGCCGCATCCTGCCCGCCCGCGGCGCCCAGCGGAGCATCGCGCCCTCCCTCGCCGCCCCCCGCCCCTGCCCCGAGCATCCTTCCCCCGGGTGCCCGGTACCCAGCGCCCGCCGCGGGGATTGTGGTCCCCGGGCTGCCTCCCCGGAGCCCGGCAGCAGCTCCCGGAGCAGGGTGCCGAGCCTCTGGGTGGCTTCCAAAGTTTGGGTGCGTTAGTTGGAGGGGTTCCCTTTGTTATTGCGCTCTGAAGTGGAGAGAGGAGCCCGACACCGGCGAGTTCGATATTTATCAGAGTATCTCAGTATCGGTTTAATAACCTGATTTTCTGAACGAGTGGCTTTCCCGTCTGGACCTCCACCGTAATCTAATTAACGTGGCTGGTGCCTCAGCCATCCAGTTTTAGCAAAATCATTTTTTTCCCCTGAAGGATGCACAAAGGAAACAAAGGCTTTGGTGGCTCAAGTTTGCCTCCCTGCTCGCAGGTCGCAGATATTCCCCAAACGTGCAGCAGACCTGCGAGCTCTCCCCCCTGTCATTGCTGCAGTCCCACGGCAGCGCTTACCCAAAAAGGCAATAGATTAGGATGCAGCAAGTTCTCCCATATGGAGAAGAGGCAATACTGGTGCATTGCACAACCCTACACGCGGGGTTGCTCTCTGCCGTGGCACAGCCGGCAGCAGGCGGGAGGGCAGGTGCTGGGGGGCATGTCCGCATAGCCAAGCTGGCTGTGATGGTGGCAGAGGCTGGGGTACCCCAGCTGGGCTTCCTCAAAGTGCTCGGGGGGAGGAAGCCGTGAGAAGGTGGCAGTGCCAGGTGGGCACAGCCCCCGCTGGAGCTGAGCTGGGTTTTGGTGTCCTCACTGCAGCTGTCGCCCACGGCGAGTGCAGCCGCGCCGGGCCGGTGCTGGCGGTGCTGTGCTGCAATCCCCGCTCGGTTTGCAGCCACTGTGCCGACCTGATCTGCGATGGAGAGGAATCTGGGAACTGCCAGCCCCAGCACAGCCCTGTGTGCTGGTGATCTCCTGTGTGCTGGGCTTTCTGCACACCTGGGGTGGCTCCTCTGCCCAGGAAGGTGCCGACACCAGTGGGGCTGACACGGGGCACACAGGCAGTGGTGCCCCATGTCTCACTTGCAGCCAAAGCCAGCCAAACACAGCGCTGGTGAAACCAACATCTTTGGGCACGGGGATGTCTCTTAGCTGGATAAGGCCAGCAGGTCATTGCTTTTTTGAATCACTTCATTCCCAACTTTCTGCTCCTCTTTTGGGTGCCCTTCCCTTTCTACTGCATCCTTTCCAAGAAAGATTGTGGTTCTCTGATCCCTCCCTCAATGAGTTTCCAGTCTATCTGGAGCTTTGCCTGCCTGCTCTGGACCTCTCACTGCCTCTTTTTAAAGATTCCTGTACCTGTGCAGGTGAGGCAGCAGCACCCAGCAGCACGTGGCCTTTTGCGTGGCTGGAGTCTGGTGCAGCATCCCAACGTGCCCCAGCAGCATGTGGCTGGTGTGTGGTGCCTGTCAGGGAGAGCTGTCACTAATTCCAGGGTCTGTTTGTTGAGCTCTGCTCATTCCACCTCTCATCTCTGGAATTAATTACTTTTGCTGTGTGCCTCTGCCCCTTTTCTGCAGCTGTCAAGGCGAGCATGCATTCCCTTGTCTGGTGAAGACTTTACAGGGCCCTCCCAGGCATGGCTGAGAGCCTCTGGTTTATCTTCAGACCATGGGAGATTGGAAAGATCCCAATTTCCTTCTGTGTTTTGGGGAAACCAGGCAGAGGAGAGGCAGGAAGGAGGGCAGGGCTGTGCTGGGTGCAGTGGGAGGAACTGATCCAGACCCCTGTGCTGTGGCTGGTGGAACAGCTGGAGCAGGGACAGTCTTACACACAAATCCATGGCCTGCTCAAGAATTTCTGGGGGCCTGCTTGGAAAAGGTTTTTTTTTTCTTTTCCACAGCATGTTGATATTTTGGCACGTTTCTGGCAGACAGGAGAGCATCCCTGGCCTGTGCTGCCCGTCCCATGTCCTGCCACATTGCTGAGCAGGTGCTGCCCCTGCCTTGTGTGTGGTGCTGTTGCTGCTGTTGCTACAGCACATCTGGGCAGATGTCTCCAGCAGCCCAAGCTGATGGGAGCCTGCATTTGTCCCTGGGAGGTTCCCGTGGCAGCGTGAGCCGTGGCTGTGGTACGTGAGGGGCTTCTCCCACGCTGGGATTTCCTTCTATTGCATCATTTTCTGCTTGTGTGAATTTCCACACAGAACAAAGCAAATACCAAAAAGGCCCCTCTCACTTCTGCAGGATCAGAGGGAAATGTCACCCCCTCTCCCTGCCCCACATGGCTTTTCTGCTAATTTATCTCATCCATGGGACACAGAGGATATCTGCTTCCCCTCAGTGCTCTCCTGCCTGGCAGCTTCTTGTGTCCCTTGTCCACTCTAAGCTCTCCATCTCCTATTTGTGGTGTTTCTCTGGCCTTGCTTCAGCTGCAGCAATCCTGGAAAAAGCAGGAGATGGAAGCAGCCAGGAGAGGAGCAGGGGAAGGCTCAGGTGCCAGGGCAGCTGTGGACAGGGAGGTTGAGCTGAGGATACTGCAGGGCAGCCATCAACGGCCTCCGTGAGTGGCAATAAATATTTTCCTGTGTGCATTCAGAGCAGGTTGTCCCAGGCCCTGCTGGGAACTGGACATGGAAAGGCAGGAGCCTGGAAACCTCATCCCTTGGCTCCCCTCCCCACTCTGCTCCTGACTTCCAGTGCTGGGGGCCAGATTTTAATGGCACTTGGACACCTAAAGGCGCAGAAGGGCTTCTCTGAAGTGCCGGCTGCCCAAGTCCTGTTGGTTTGGACCCATTTCTGTGTGCCTTTCTGTGTCTCTGGGCACCTGAGTGCCCAGGAATACCTGGCGATGCCAAGCTCCACTGTCTGCCAGGTGCTGGAATAGTGCTGGGGGGGACAGCCAGGCTGCAGGGCTGTTTAACCCTCCTTGGAGACCAGGCTGGTGCCACACAGGAGCGTGCAGGAGAAGTCAATGTTGAGTGATAACAATACTGAATAATAAATTATGTAATTCTTTGTGCTTTCATAGATCCTGTCATTGAAAAGTGCTTAATAATAATAAATTTATTAATCCTTCTGACGCCTCGTTGGGGTAGCTCAGAGATGCAGTTTGGTGGTGTGTCCTAGGAGGTGGTAACTCCCGAGACTGGAAGGAACCACCGTCCTCCCTGGATCACATCCTCTCCCATGGGGATTTAAACCTGAGCTTAACTTGGGCCAGGTGCTCACGGCTTAGGGCCACAATAGGATTTGGGATTGTGTTTAAGACCCTTGTGGAGCCACAGTCAGCGGGCTCTGCTCAGCTGGAGGTTTGTGAAGGTGCTGAGGTGTGACTGCAGCCTGAATGAAGTGTGTGACGTGCACGTGCGCAGTTGTGGGTGCACAAAACATGCCCTGGGTGGAGAGGACTTGGTTTGGGGAGAGAAACTGGGAGAGAAGCACGGTTCTGAATGTCCCTACTCACAGCAACACTCCCAGGCCAGGAACCCTTAAAATCATGAAGCAGTTTTAAAAATGTGCACTTTTTTTCAGAAGAGCACCTTTCAGCTCTTTTTTCCCAGTCATTTTGGGGAAGGTTGGCTTTCAGGGTTCCCTTTGCACAGGTGTTGCCCATGTCCAGAAGTGGCTCTGTGTTATTTTTGAGGCTGCAATAGCTGAGCAATCAGGCATGCTCAGAGCTCTGCCGGTGCTGCAGCATGGCTCTGGGGCCAGGCTGGGGTCGGCATGCTTGGGGATGGTGGTCCTGGTGCTCCTGAGCCCACAGTGGGGCTCAGGTGAAGGTGTGGGAGCCACGGTGAGGGTGCCAAAATGACAGCCAGGCTGCAGAGTGGGTGCGAGGAAGATGCTCTTTTCCCAAGAACCGCATCCCACCCACTGTGATCTATTTTGTGGATTTTAAACTCACTCCAGCATCATCATTTTCTGCTCTTTCACAATAAGCCACAAAATTGGCTCCATTGCTCGACAGTAATGCAGGGAATTAAAGGGCATTAGTTTAAGAGCAAACTATAAACATATTGATTTGTAGTTACGGGGGTATGTGGTGGCGGGTGGAATTCTCTGGGAAAGGAAAGGAAATTCTACGATTGCAGCAGTTTTCAGCCAGGAAAATGGGTTGGTTCCTTGCTGGCTGAGCCAGGCTGGGGCTTTGCTCCATCATGCCACCCCGGTGCTGAGGAAATGTGCTGGCTGGGGCAGTGGGCAGGAGCAGAGGAGGGACCTTGGTCGCTCCCCCGCTGCTGCTGGTTTATTTTTAGCCTCAGAAGTGTTTGGCCCCAGGCACTGGGTATCTCTGCCAGGTTGGTTTGTGTTGAAATCCCTCCTGTTGCTCATCCAGCAGAAAGCAGGGTGAGCTGGCCAGGTGGCTACGGACCCGTTATCCCTCAGTGGCAAAGGCTGGGTGAAATTGTCACCATGGGTGACTTTTAGCAGGACTTGGAGTGACAGGGCAGGCAGGAATGGCTTCAAACTGGCAGAGAGCAGGGTTAGATGGGATATCAGAAAGAAATTCTTCCCTGTGAGGGTAGTGAGGCCCTGGCACAGGTTGCCCAGAGAAGCTGCTCCGTCCCTGGAAGTGTCCAAGGCTGGGTTGGTTTGGGGCACTGGGGCAGGACAATGGGCAGGAGGTGCCAGAGGGATGCCCAGGGGCTG